AGCGGCCGCGGGGCCGCCGCCGCCAGCCGCAGCAGCAGCAGCAGCAGTGACAGCAGCAGCAGCAGCAGCTGTCAGTCATTTTTATCTGTGCTCAGATCCCTTCTTTATGGCCACATCATTTCCAGTCTAACCCCTGTATGACTGGCTCTCAATCATCAGTCACAGTCACTTCGTGTTAGGGCCAAAATATTTCACCGGCGTCTGCTCCTGGACATCTCCCACCCTGTGGTCAGCTCTCATCAGAAAAAAAAGGTACGCAGTACTTCTTGAAGCTAAAGTAATCAAGTAAAAAAAATCTTCTAAAATACTGCTTTTAGTCTTTTTTACTGTTGTCAACAGAGGGTGTATGGGCCGTGATGGGCCGTGATGCTGCCCTCTGTCTGTTGTTTGAGGTAGATCTGGTCGAGATATTTTTTAGTGGTATGATAGAACCTGTAGGTGGTGCTATTTGACAGATATAGGGGTAGGATAGGTTCATAATTGTCAATTATATATTTTTAATTAGAACTTTTTTAAATTTTTTAATATAATTAGACATTAAAAAACAGTTGTAAAAATAATTCTACAGGTTATTTTTAGTATTTTTGTTGTCAGTGTTGAGCTACATTTTTGCTTTTTCTGGCCTAAATATTTTTTTTCCTACATTTACTTGAAAAAGAAACACTAAAAATCCTTCCACATCTCAATGGCTTTGTTCTATGTCTGTATTTGTCCGACGCCGTGACACTTACAGCCATTTAAGGAGCTGTATTCCAGACCGTTCAGCACCTCCCTGCTGCTGCAGCGGGAACTGCGTCCACTCCCCCACTGCTCGTTGTCCTGAGAACCGGAGCGAGCCTTCATCTCCTCTTTGAGAATCATCCTCCCGATGCCCTGTGGAGCAAAGAAAGAGATGGAACGATTGTATGTGCAGTCATGGAACGGATGACGAGGAGCTCAGAGCGCGAGGACGTTGGTTTATTTACTCTGTTGATGTTCTGGTTCCATCCGTCATCCTCCCCTCCAGATGAAAACCTCCTGACTCTGGAGACTGGAGATAAAGACGGAGGAAGGAGGAGCAGGTGAGAAGAGAGTGAAGCTCGAAGCTCACGCTGTGTTTGTGCTTCTTTAAAGATTAAGATTTTTTCTGGAGATTTACCGTCTTTGACGTTGATTCCGTTGAAACATCATCTGTAGATAACGAAGATGTTTTTACATCACGTACCTTTTGGAGAGCCAGTGTACGGGAAGTAGTTGGAGCTGGGGTGATAAAGTCCGTTACAGTTGACCAGATTCTCATTGGTTTTACTCTTGTTGACTGTTCCACAGGCAGAAAAAACATCTGGGAAAAAAAATCAACAACATTTATATTATATTAGATGTTAATAAGCATTAATTATTTACAGACAAAATAACAAACTCATGAACAATTTAATTTCATGTTTCTTAGTTCTCCAGCGTTGGGCACAGAGGAGTGGAGCTAACGTTAGCTACAACAACGTAGCTGCTCCATGATAGACCAGATGATGAGGTTCAAAGACCAAACAACATTTTTTCATGTGTACAATTCAGAAGTGAGTGAATTTGTGAATGCACTGAAGAGTATTTACTTACAAAGAGGCCAGGGCACAGCAGGGGGCAGGATGAGGAGAAAAAGAGAAAAGGAGGTTAGAAAAAAAAAACAAAGAAGCAGAAGGGAAAAAAAAATAGGTCAAAGACAGAGAGAAAAAAAATGAAAGAATATGATCCATGACTCTTAAAAGCTGAGGTTATCAAAGGTTAAAAAGAAACATAAAAAACCGACTCTGTGAATAAATCAATGTGAGATTCTGCACAATAAATAAATCAACTGGAAAACCGATAAACAACCGTTTTTTTTTTTTTT